TCGCCCCCTTCAATAAAACCGTTACGTAGTATCGCCCCCTTCACTTCAAAATTCCGATGCCGAGGGCCAAGGCTAACGCCAAATTCGTACTGCATTGAACAGACTAGTGACTATATAATGTTATTTGTTTAATTATTGTACGATATAACGAATAAAATATCTAATTATTCTTAATATAATGTTTTACTATATCGCCCAGAAAATTGTTTTTCGCCCTCAAAATATAAATTGTTACAAATCGCCCCCTCAACATGGAAAAACGCCCACATGGGGGCGATAGCGCCCCCGTTGAGAAACACTGAAATAGATAAAACACCAAATGAAGGAAGTAACTTGACATCCGAAAAATTATTTAAAATACAAATTTACAGTGTTCTTGACACTCTATTGTGTCAAATAGATTGGCGTTATGAAAAAATAAAAACTATCTGTGACGATTTCTGCTTTCTCTGTGGACTGTCTTTACAATACATGAGTGTTGCTGTTTTATTATTTTCCCAAAACCAAATAAATTAAGGGGCCTAAATGCAAATTCTTGCACAGGGCACAGGAATGGCTAGTTACGGCTCTGGACGTCATTCTCGTTTAACTCGTTCGACTTTACGAACATACCCAATGTTAACTTTACATTCCAAAGATAAAGTTTTTCTTTTCTTGTTTGATGCGGAAGAATTATTTCTACTTCGTTTGGATGACATAGTAGAGTCTCTCGAGTCTCCGTAGATATAACAAACACAGAAATAAATAACACAAAATAAATTATAGCTATGTGTGGATTCCGCGCGACACATCCGAACATGTAAGCTGAACAATAGTGTGGGGGGAGTGAGTAATCGAGGGTTGCGTGGCGCTCAAACAAAAGACGAATCGACGAGATTTGAAAATCGCGTAACTCCGGGTTCACGTAAGTCGGGGTATTACTGTATAATCGAAATGGGTTGATATAATGATGATGATAATAATAAACCCAGAGCAAAAACGATTAGGAGTTAAAAGTTGAAATTTGGTAGGTAAGATTTACCCTCCGAATGAGGGGGTCGACACCCCCAAAGGGTAGCCCTCCCCCGTACGAACAATAAATGTCTAATGAACCATCCCCCTACGCGCGACCCTTCGCGAGATATATGCCCCTGAAGATTCGCTACGTCATATCCGGTCACGTGACATCGTGGTCAAAAGGCAGTCTAAAGCGCGAAAAGAATTTTTAACGCGCACTCCTTTCTTAGATCTAAACATTATTGTTTATTAATCTTACCTTGGCCGGGCCTCGAATCAGGGTCTATGTTGACTGTAATCCAAGCCTTTCTCCACTAGTCCAGCACGTCCTCTTACCAGAAACATTTCGGAACTCATATTTGAGACGAACGAGCCCAAGGACAGCACTGCGCGTGACAGCCAAATCACGTGGTCGTTCCTTAACCCAGCATTGGTCAGGTGATCAAAAGTTACAACAGCAGTTAAGAGGGGTTTAATAAATCCAACTTTTTTTAAAGTTTGTCAACCTCAATTAACTTTTTGTGTGTTTTTACTAAAACTTATAAATTTTTAACACTTTCTAAATTAAAAAAAATAATCAAAAATAATTTATTNGTTATATTAAAAACGCAAAGCACAAAATCCCCCCCTCACACAATAAAAAAAAAGGACCATTTTTAATAACTTATATTAATCACTTTTGCGTGAATGACAAGATAAAAACCTTTAACCAAAACGTAAACATATGCAAATGAAGCATATTCTAATTTAATTAATAATTACGTCACAATGTATATACTTTTGTTTGCCACCATTTATTATTTTTCTAGGGAAAAAAAAAGGAATAAAAAAGGGGGGGAAAGAGAGAGAGACAAAGATGTTGAAGAACACATAGGCGTTGTCAAGGCAACAATCCCCGAATGTATAACGAATACATAATCGTTTTAATGCTTAAATGCGAGATTGTATGTCCATTTATGCGAGGTGTCAACGTTTCTGATGATTTGTTACTCCTACCATTAAAATTCCTGTATAGAAGTCAAGTGATGTATAACTCCTCCTTCCGATCACCTGACAGTGACTCACCTTCACTATAATTGTCTCCGACACCTCCTTTGCTAAAGGTATTAGTTTTATAAAATAGAGTTACCTTCACGCCAAAAAATATACAGGAATAAAATTTAAAAAGAAAAAGAAAAACAAAATTAAATTACTTAATTTATTAAATATAGAAAGAAAGAAAAAAAATACGAGTAAAATCAATATTAATGATAGTGATTTAGATTTTAATAATAAATCACGTTTAGATCATATCAACGACGTCTTCATTCGTGAAAGATTATGTAAGGCACGGGGAATTTATTAATTTTTTTGAATTTTTTTTTTATTCGCACCCCCCTATATATGGTTATAAAAATTTGTTGGATTAAAAAAAAAAGATAGAGGGTATAAGACGCGTGTATCTGTATGGTACCCCCGGGCTTTCACGTCGCGAACAACAATCAAGTATAGAAGCCGTTTTGTAATCTTCTCACCTGGTACAAACTCGGTCCATGTTTGCAGCACCACTAGTTACAGGTATTAAGGTGTTCGGTAACCTTTAGTTTGTCGGATAGATTAAGGCAAAGATGGTCCGGGATCCAAGATAGAACCACTATAATTAGTGCTAGTAGCCGCCACTAGAGGCGCTATAATAATAGTCGTGAGACCGCACACTGGGCAATGAAGGTGCAGACATGAGCCCCGGGCTCTTACAAGCTACCTCTGTTGACATTCATGTCCTATGTATGTACCTATTCATCCCCTTGGTTGTCAAAACATTGAGCCCCTGTCATGATTGCCATTCGACATGACATGGTGATTACGTCATATGCTACCGCGGAGGGTACCGTTTACCTGTAATTATCATTTGTTTGTTCCCCAATGAAAATGTTTCGTATGACTGTTTAAATTCTGAAAACCTGTTATTGATTTGTTAACGTCAGGTTCTTTTTTTTTCTTCCCCCCCTCCTTACATATCATCGACAGCATACATTTTTAATTCAGATATCCTTGGGGATTAAAACTACAATGCCTACATAATATTCTATACTCTATTATTTGCATTATTAAACATAGTTTGGAGACAGGCAAGATTCAGGCATACACTTACCCTTTACCTTTTTTTTTTTTAATATTCTGAAATAGTGTGTGATCGTGTTTTGTTTCCTCTTCTTTCTTCTTTATTTTATGTGTACGAAGCTTTCGATTAGGGTTTTCTTTCAGGGAGGAGTAGAGGAGGTAACAACCTACACAACAGGATGAAAATATCCATCTCGTGTTAACAGTTTTGTAAACACATAAATTATTATTGTTTCTGTATATGTACTAGTGTATATTAACCTACCAATTGCATTTGTCACCCCTCAGATCAGAAAAACACACCCCCGAGAGTGTTTTATGAAAGAAACAATGCTTTCGATCCCCTTTTGTTGAGGTTTATAACACTCGATTCGAATCATTAACATTAGTAATTGTAAAATAGTGTTTGATCATGTATACGTGAGGGAGGCTCATGAAAATAACCCCCTCACGTCAACAGTTTTGTAAATACAGAAACGATCATTGTACGTACAAAATGTATATAGATTGGCCTATCAATTGCATTTGTCACCCCCATCAGATTAGAAAAATATTCCCGTAGAATGCATACTATCCCCGAAATAAATATTTGTTGAGGTTTATAATACTCGATTCGAATCATTAACATTAGCAATTCTGCATTGAGGACACATCCGCTTACAAATCACTATTTTACAGAACATAAATGTTTCCTTTTTAGGTAAAACTATCAATCAATTCTTCCTGTAGGAAATTGTTTCGTTGTTCATAACCAACGCCATTTTGTTTTTTTTCTTTTATTCTCTATCTTTATACGTAACACTTTATATAAGGACTATAATTATTTATACATTACGTATCTGTATATTAAATATTATTATATTTTAAGATTTATATTCAGTTTTAGTTACACATTTTAAATTGATATCCACAGTAAATAATTAACAGAATATTATACCAGTGTAATATATTTCTAAGGATTTAACTCAGTAACATCATTGTTATGGATGATATAAAAAAAAGAAGAAAGGAGAGAAAAAAATAAAAGAAAAATCACTTGTCTGTTCTAGTTTTCTGCATGAAAGATGACCAATGAATTTTACACTCTAGCAACTTTTTTCTTCGTTTATTTATATATAAAAAAAAGAAGTACAATAGTCTCTGCATCATCTACATGAGAAGAAACAAATATATTTCGGTCATCTTTCAGTTGTTTCGTACGAAAAAAACCTTGGAAATTTCAATCCGAAACGATCTCTTCTGAACGGGAAACAATCCCGATTTTTATGACTTTCCTGTATTCACAGCCACTTTTTTTATTTTAAATGGAAAAATCTATAAAAGACACTAACCTACATAAGAAAAGAGCTTAAATTCTAATAAAACTCATCACAGAAACCAATTCAAACCATTAGTTAGGCCTGAAGTTAAACCGAGTTTAAAAAAAAATGGAGCACTCGATTATCATTTAAAGTAGTAAAATAACGAGTGTAAAAAAGTAAAACATTAAAAAAATTGCAGGCGAAATTCCTTAAAGTGGTGCTGCAGCTATGGAGTATGCAAAAAAGAGTGTTATATTTCACAAGAAACGATTTCCGTCAAAGCGTTTTTTTTATTTATTTTTTTATTTTATTTTTTGGTAGGAGCCCTCTCAGTTCTTCCTGAGTCAGTATCAGATTAACTACGTTCTGTCGGACCTATTAATTCTGTCATCGAACGGGGGAAAGAGTCGTTTCAATTTAAAAATACCAGGAATTCCGTTGTGTGCTGATGAATCAACCAACGGCTGTACCTCTCATTAGACACCAACATTTGTTGATGGTGAGGAATAGGCATTACAGTAGCCATACAACAGTGACTGGTGAAAAATTACAGCATTCACACGATTATTGCATTCCGAAAAACCAACACGTTTGTCCTTTATATTGCTTCCGTTCTCTACTAGGAGACGTTTGAACTTGGCTTTCTCTATCGAAACAATTCACGTCTAAACATTCCTAAACACGACTAATATCCATTTTGTTCTAACTTTGGCTTTCAACACTCGATATTACAGCCTAACACCTCGGTATAAATTTACAGTTTAAATTTTCCACACAGGGGGGTCGTTGTACAAGCCAGAAATTGCCCTACTCCCCTCTTCCTACTTTACTTTCGGCTCTTGAATAACGTAAAAAGTAAGCGATTTTTTTTTTCTTTCGTTCTTTCTGTTTTGCTTGGTTTCTTTTCCACAGGTTAAGAAGAAGAAGAAGAGGAAGAAAAAAAAAAAAAAGAGAGAGCTTTCCTGTTTCTATAGGTGAATGCATATGTTGTTGTTGATGGTGGAATTTGCAAAAATAGACAAAAAAGCGAAAACAATTTGAGAACGTAAGACCAAGAATAAAGTACGTATCGTCTCTAAATTGGGTTGTTTTTTATCGTGTAGGCCTTATATTTTCCAGCAAAATGCGCCTATATTTGGCAAAATATCGGCTATATAAGCCTAAGTTATATACATATATTTTCCTACGTAATTTACTTCATTTTTCATGCTTCTTAATCCAACTTGCAAAAATTTCGTTTTTTCTTTCGTACCTTTTTATTTATTCTTTCGGCGCAAAATTGTAGTATTTGACACACACACAAAAGCGCAATAATATCATTTAAAAGGGAGGAAGAAAATGGCGCAGTTTTCTTAGAAAATCTTTATATAATTTATTGTTGTAAACTCGGTTATTATCACGCTAGTAGGCTATTAGGCACGGAGCGTTATTTTTAACGCTCCTACAAAATGCAGAACAATTTTCGGAAATAAGCAAATAAATAAATAAAACCGCACATTTTTTTTACGTTGTTTATTTAAATTATTCATCGCAATTTGCATATTTATCAAGTAATAAAACTACATTAACGAAGTGTAAACACAGAGGAAGAAAATATAAATTTACTGGCTTGAGATAACAGTGGCAATAACAAGCACGCGAACACGTCAACGTTCGTTATATTTACGTCGATATTAAACACAATTAACTTGATTACAATTAATAACTTAATTGTAATTAACTAAATTACGTTTAAAATTAACCGATTAGAGTTAACGACGTAAAATGCCGTTTCCTAAATGGCAATTAAGAATTAATTATAATCACTCGCTTATACCCTTCCTTAATCGCACTGGAGCTAATTACAATTAACTTAAAGAATATTAAATGTAAATGTAAATGTAAATGTAATTTAATTACAATTAAAACAAACTTACCAGTAGAGCCTCTACTTAAATAATAAGACACACGCTTGTTATCTATGTTTACGGTGTTACTAAAAACATGTTAAATATATTTTTAAAATAATTAAATAACTTAAATTATTTTTATATTTTCATGCTAAACGGCAATAATTAATTATAAGTTTAGAGTAATTTTAGTCTAAACTTAAATTTACTCAACTTAGAGCATAGAAAGCGAGACTTTTAGCTAATGATATAGTGGC